GCTAAAACATGTGCCCATAGTATGCATATATTGTGACTAGCATAGAATTTCAAGTATAATGGTAAGTCGAGACATATGTGACATCGACACAATACCATAGATAACTGATCTCAAATAGAGTTATCTTTGTCGATTTTGTAAAATCAAAGGATAACATCGTGGATCCACTAACCAAAAGGTTAAATCGAGATCAAGTTTAGAAAACATCTAAACGGGATGTGACTAAAGCCCATGAAATTTAAAGGCTTTATGTGAAGGAAAACCGTACCTTGTTGATTGGATATCCCAAGATCTATGTTCAAAGGGACAACCTAATTGCATAAACCGTGTACGGACACTGTGGGAGTTTCTTATCCTAAGTCCACTCCTATGATGTAAACAATGATCAAAGTGGTATAGGCTAAGCAAAGCTTTTAATGATCATTGTGTGCTTCGGTGAGCCGAGAAACATAAGTCACCTATGTGAGAGTGAAGTGGGGCCGCTTTAAGGAGACTATTGGGTGTAACTCTTTCAAAATCTTGCAGAACCATGAGATGTCCATGGCTTTAAAGACATACCCATGAGAACTAAATTCTTGTTAGAGAGGTAGTTATGTGAAGTATGTCATCATTTACACAAATGGAAGAAAAGTTTAGAGATATCACGTCTACTGGTTAACCAGTAAAGTAAACATATTGTCACAAGGGAAGGTTCAAAGGAGGACACCTATCTATCCTATGCAACTATTGATCATAAAGGATATCACCACATCGAGTCAAAATGTTGTTCCTTTTGAATATTACAAACTAAAAGATATTTTTAATTTGAATATTAGTATGATAATTATTTTTTGAATATATCAAATTAAAAAAGTATTTGTTACCTATTTAACTTTGAATATTAAAGATAATTATATCATTTTGAATATTTCAAATTAAAATAATATCTATTTTAGTTTGAATAGTAAAAAGTGACTTTATATTTTGAATATTTCAAATTAAAAGGTATTATTATATGTTTAAATTTGAATATTAAATGATATTTAGTTGGAGTAAATCTCTCTCTAAAGCCCCCTATAAATACTAAGTTAACCTGCTAGGTTAATCACAATTTTTCAGAACAAGTTTCACAAGTTTTAACATCTCAAAATTCAAGAACTTTTATTTTCTTGAAAAATATTTTCTCTCCTTAGTTTTCTGGTGATAGTCGAAAGCAAGGATAGTTTGTGATCTCTATTGTTGTGCTACTGTAGCGGATCATCTAGTTGTAGTATCTTGGGGGACAGACGACCAACGATCTAGAGCACCAAAGAAGTGGTCGAAAATCTGTCTTAAGGAAACTGTGTAGGGACATGCCTCAACTGTTTCCGATCAAAAGATCAATCAAGAAAAAAGTATTTTTATTTCTATTTATTTTATTTTCATAATAAGTTTAATCTTGTTTGTTTATCTTCTCAGGTGTGAATATGGTCTCGGATTGTTATAATTCTTACAATCATAAGACAAGTAAACTCATTCTTTATCATTAATTTTATAATGATATTTGATTATTATTATCATTATTATTTTTCTATATTATTATCGAATTTAACGATTTTGTCTAACATGAACTTCATCCCAGATTTGACTCCAAAAGTTTGGATTTGACTTCATCCTAAAAGGCATGGTTACGCTTTGCCGAAGATGGTTTTCTGTCCAATTTCACATTCTTCCAAAAGACTTGATTCTCACATAGAAAGATAAAAGCATGCTTTAAAGTTGATTTTCACCATTCCATCCATATTTCACCTCCTAAATCAAAACAAATATAATTTCCACAATTAGGCTCAACTTCTAACAAGATTGTAAAGGAATTAATCATAAAAAGATATATATAATTATAACTTATCAGTTATCAAAAGCCAATGATAAAGCGCACTAAAAGCATGAATCTCGATTAAGCCTGGATCACCAACATCGAGCATAGCTTAAATTTTAAAATATTTCTCATACCCTAAAATTTTCCTAAATCATATATGTTCTCTTTAAAATTCAAGTTCTTCCTCTTACTCGAATTGAAAGATAAACATATGTTTGGAATTCTTATTACATAAATTTTCTATTGATAGTACCAATTCCAAGTTTTGGATAAGTTGAGTTGAAACCCTAAGTTGAATTCAAATTAGAATAAATGGAAAAATTAAGTAATTTGGTAAAAGTGGTTTTAGATTATAAATTTTGCTTTTGATTGTGTATCTTCTTCATTCCTAGAGCAAGTGGAATAGGTAAAGATCATCACTCCAAGAGAAAAGATAAAGGTTTTCGAGAGTGCTTAAATCGGATTAAATCGAACAATTTCATTTACGGTGAATTGTTGTTATGTTTGTTGTGATGGATTGATCATTACCATGTAGGTAATGTTCATATATATTATTCGCTCACCTAGAGCAACAAGGATGGAAACATGGATATTGTAAGTACTGGTAAGTTATATGTTTATTAGTATGTTATTCCATGTTGAGATGTTATGGTGAATCATTAGTATATATTGATGTCTGATATGTCTTTTGGATAAACCGAGCATATGTGGCTACATATGTTCATCCTAGAGCTATGAGCCCATGTATTTTTAATGGTAAGTTATGTTATTTGTTCAATGTTGTCCATGGTTACCTTGTTGATTTTGAAATACAACTGTCATGCCATAAAGTTCAAAGAGCTTGTAGGATATTGTAAGACTTCGATCTTATTAGTGATGAAAAGATGATGAATTGGTCGGACTTATATTCAGGCAATGACGGAAGGATTGATTACTGTTATTGTGTTATTTTTCACTATTGACATTGATATAGGGATTAGCGTATCCATTATTTAACTTATATTTAATATTAGTTATATTTATGATCATGACTAATGTTATTGTGCAAGTTGCTGATGCTAAAGTTATCGTTGTTATTATGTAAATAGGGATTCATCCAATAAGATTTTATTATTTAAGAGTACCTCATTAAGTTATATAAACTTACTTTGTTTAATGATTTAAAGAAATTATTTGATGTGAGGTATGCACGCCTTGGATGTTGATGTAGACGACATTTCCCTTTATTGTTGGATGTAGGAAAGAAGCAAGACAACCTGTAAGCAAGATGGGCTCAAAAAGAATGGTTAAAAATGGGTTGATGAAAGGGTGATAGGTGGGTTAGAATGAAAATGATGATTAGTAGGTTGTTTAAGGATGATGGAACGGGTGTGGTGATGGTTAAAGAAACATGGATGATGGTGATGGATAGTATGAACAATAACAAGGAAGAAACTAGGCTATATGAAAATCTAACCCCATACCTTATAAGTTCTTTGATCGGGTGGTAAAACAGACTTGGATTCACTAGCTATACATCAACTAGGAACCACAAGTATCAAGTTTGAATAGATGGGGTGGTGCCACAAGCACAAGACTTGATAAGTCAATATAGTTCAATGAAGAACTTAAGAGAGAAAATTTTCACAAGAAAGATTTAATTGATGCAAAATGAGATGTCTTACAAAGCCAAGGCATTGGCTTTATATAGTTTTTCAAGGGACATGGCCGAATAGACAAGTAATGTTTCGGCTAAGAGTGATTCCCCTTTGTAAATATATTATTAATGAATGAATGTACTAGTTCTTTCATAGCTGAATGGTGATATTGGTTCGGTTGAATGCATCTTTGAATACTTGTAACACTTCATGGTCGAATAGCATGCTGTTGGTTCAGCTTAGGCTTCTTTTGAATGCTTCTTTTGTTTTGGCTAAGGAGACTTGATGAAGTATGGCCGAATGGTGATGATGGTTCGACAATTAGGCACCTCCCTTGGTGATGCACATGATACAAGGCATGTGACTTGTGCTTTGGCCGAATAGTCTTATGATGGTTTGGCCATGGGTGTGCCTTGCACATGATTTCCTTTTGGCGCCAAGGATGATGTCTAGATAGCTAGCTAGGTGACTTGTAACTAGATAGGTGCAAGCTAGGTGCCTAATGTCACTCCAGCTCCTCAACTCCCTTTTAGCTAGTTTCAGCTCCCATGCTTAGCTCTGAGCTAATTTGTAGCTGGCTCAACTACTTTTATATGCCTTGAGCTATCCTTTAGCTCGATGAACTATCATTCTTTATGAATGAGATGCCATAGCTTCCTTTCCTTGTCAATGAGCTACCATAGCTTTCATAATTAAGCATTGTACCTAGGAAAGACATGCAAACGATCAAATTAAGTAGAAAGAAGCTAATATCATAAAGGAAACATGATGCACGCCTAAACAAAGTATGCAAATGATGTGTAACATGAAGCATGCACATCATAACTAAATATAAATATAATATAAAGATGTGGATTATAGAATGCATTACATATCAAGGTATTCATGTAACATGCAATGTATGACGGTGAATAAACGGAAACATGTATCCTAGAATAGGATGCATAGCATAAAGAATACTAATGACATGAATACGAATGATATGCAAAGCATGGTGATCATGGCATAATATGAAATATGTGACAGTGATGCAAAGTATAGAATGAGTAAAAATGTGTAAGTAAAAGCTCCCTCCACTTACATCTTTATGAGAAAAGATGAAAGAGTGATGATGAGTAGGTGCATGAGTAGGTTCATATCATTATTCATCTTAGTGGATTAAGATTACATCTACAAGTTGTAAGTTATCGTCAATTTTGTCAATGTAACGATGTTTGGTTAAAATTTCTAGAATGATGGCTATGTAAATTTATCGACATTTAAATACCCATAATAAAAATGTATATTTTCCATACCAATATTTAGTTTTTAGATTTTTGTAATTCATTTCACAATCCAAATTTTAAATAAAACCAAACGGAACTATTAATGGATTTTGATATCTTATTCTGACAAAAAAAAAGCCAAAGGAAAATTATACAGTAAAGGATTTAAATAGTCGTTGAATACATTCAAAGTGAAGAAGAAAGGTACTAGACAAAGGATTCTTACAGGATACCCATCCAATAATATTTCATGCCAAGTGCTTTCACTAATAAAAATCAAAGAATAATAGCCATAATAACTTCATAAAGTTTACCACCGTATCATTTGGGATCCTATTATTGATTTGAACATGAACCAAATTTTCTCATAATCTCAATACTGTCTGCTATTGTGGAACCAGCAGTTCCATAGAAACCAAGTGAACCACAGCTGCAAATTGTTTCTTCTATGAACAGAAGTATATCAGGTAATATATAAGGAGAACAATGCTTCTGCAACTTAGCCACTAATTCAATAGACTCGATACTGTCAACAATGGATTCAAACCTCAGGCCGTGCCCGGCAATTGTTAGCTTTTTTGCCACCTGCGTGACCAACGAATCTTCTTCTCTAAGAAAATAGAGCTTAAAATTGATTGAATCCTCAGCCAAACCACCCAAGTAGGTTCCAGTCCAATTGCCTTGAGGGAGATCGGTCATCACAAAAATATGAACTGGTTGAGAATCCGCCTGCTTTAACGAATCTAATTTCTGTTTCAAACCCAAAAAAGTAGCTTTCCAATGGTTCTTGAATTGTCCATCAAGCAACCTAAGCTGTGCACAGAGAAATGGAGCCTTTATGATCTGAACGGAAAACTGCTTTCCCGCATTTATGATCTCAGGGACAAACGGAAGGAATTCAATCTTTCTAATTAAAGATTCTATCACTGATCCTCTTGGTGCTTTTCGGATATCAATGTAGAGCTCTGAACCTTTATATGGGGCTGTAAATAAGCTCCCAAATGCCAAAACAGTGGCTGAGTCAACTTCACTACCAGGTCCAAGTGTCTTATACACATCTCTTCGTCTTCTAACATACAAAATCTTCTTTTTCTTCTTGAGTTGTTCATCGTGTTGGAATGAATCTAATGCCCCATCTACTTCATCATTCCGAATGTCCAAACTGTTGTTCTACAATCAGCATCTACGGCAAATAAACATCGATCTATATTACCATCCATTCCAGATAGCAGAGAGCCACATTGCTTTAGGTGATCAATCATAGATGGTTGTGCTTTTGATTCACTGGAGCAAGCCAGATCCAGGTCCAAACCACACCACAAGGACACAAAAACCCTGAAATCTATGGCTCGACAAGTGATGATGATAGTAATGAAGAAATATCAATGATATCAGCCATTGAGACATACCTGAAACAATAAATAGAAGTGCAATCCAAACATAAGCAAGATATTCCATGGAGTATAGCAATTGGAAAACTAAAGCCCCAAGTTCCAAATGTTATGATTACTATGAACTTTTGCCTGAGAAAAGCAATTAATTTAAGCTCAAACTGACCTATATATAGAAATGTTGTCAAAGGCGCTTAGAAACCTTACATTGCCTGGCACAAGGAGCAAAAAAAGCACTAGCCTACGTGAACTAAAGCACAATATGTATATGTGGTGTTATATATATATATACACCTTACTAGTGAAGGTATATCAAATGAAAAAAAAAAAGTAAAAGAAAAATTAAAGAGAAATTCAATCAGGGCGGGCTCTTTCATGGCTATCATCTTACAAAGAAAAAGTGTGTTTAGGACCCGGCCTGAGGATCCGAAGCACTTTTGGTGAACGATGCTAAGGTGCAGCCGCACCTAGGTGCTCGCCTTGACAACACTGATATAGCTCAACCGCTAAAACATAACAGGAACAAGACTCAGACATCCATGATTTTCTGTTCTAGTTTTTGGGTCTTCAGTAAAATTTATGCACCAAAAGGTGGAAGTCAGCCAATAAAAGAAAACTAATATAAAGTGTAAAAACACTAAACCCAGAATTCAAACAATAAAAAATCAACAATTTAATGGAGAAATTAACTGAAATGGGCATATAAAAAGGCTATAATCAGCTACCTCCCACTTCTAATTTGCTGAATGATATGATCCCAAAGTTCCAAATCTGAAATTCTTTAGTTACTAAATACTAACATGTACATAAGTCACAGAATTATACGAGTAGTAAAACCCCAAACTCCAAATCTTATGGTTACTAAGAAATTTTGCATGAGGAGCAATTATTTTGTGTTCAAGTTGACCTATTTATAACTCAACAACAAAAACAGAACAAGAAGAAGATTGGAGCATCCATGTTTTTCTATTCTAGTATCTGGATCATCAATAAAATTTAACTACCAATAAAGGAGAAGTAATCTAAAGGGTAAAAAGCTGAAACCCAGAATTGGAAGACAAAAAAGTCAACAATTTAATGGAGAAATTAGCTGAAATGGGTATATGAACAAAGAAAATGAGCAATACCCAGTTACCTCCCACTTCTAATGAGATCGACGACATGATCCCAAACTGAAATCCGGATCCCTCTGGGACTCATAACCCTAAACTTAGGACAGCTGCCGAGAGCTAAGGCATGGTGAGAAAGAATAGGAGGGATAATCAACGTACGGTTCAAGATAGAGGCCATTAGAAGTGCATTTTTGAACTCGGAGAGCTGGTTAGTAAACCCACTATGAGGGGCGTACCACAAGAATTTCTGCCCTGCAATTCGAGTTTTGCAATGTGGGATTGGGATTGTGGAAGTGGTTGAGAAGAAGGATTTGGGGGTGGAAGTGAAGGTAAAGAAGAAGAAAAGGAGGAGAGGAAGGAAACAGAGTGAGAGGAAAAAGAAGGGAGATCTGCGTGCCTGCTGAGATTTCTTTTTGTTAGCGGCAATCATTCTACTGAGATTGATCATGGTTATATCGAGATTCAACATGTTCTGAGGTTTTAAAGTGATCGAACTATTAAGCGATTGTATGTTGCATATGATTGTCCCCAATCAATCAGCAGCAAGGCGAATATTATTTTGGGTAAATTACCTATCTAGTATTTAAAGTATTAATTTTGGTACATTTTAGTATCTAAATTTTTAATTTTTTTTCATTCTACTGAGATTCAACATGTTTAGAGGTTTTGTTCGTTTCTAGAAATTTACTAAAGTTGTGGTATGGAGTACTGAATTGTACTCTGTTGAGTGTGAAGGATTAATACGGGTTGTCCCTTACATTTTTATATGATGGATTTTAGTTACTGGTTCATTTTGGTTCTTATGTTATCGATCTTTTTAATTTTAATCTCTCAGATGTTAACCTCTTAAGCAAACTCCTTTGTAAACTTCGTTTCTGTCCGGTGGATCTGATGATTTTTCCAAAGATGGATTATCAGATGGCCATACAAGAGGGAAGGGCATGGAGCACCTGATTGTTTCCTTTCTCACTTGTCAAACAACGTCAACTGTACGGACCTCACCAATCTCCTGTCTCTAAAGTCAAAAAAGGTCATCCCCCTTCTCAACATAATTGGTGGCGCTCGATTTAGACAGGCGCCGGTCCAGCACCTTACTTCCTTGTCTTCCCCATCGTCATTAAGATCAGAATGGGTGCAAGGTTTTGTTGATGATGAGTCAGTTTGTTTTCACGGTTTCTTTGTTCGATCCTAGTAATTGAATTTGACTTGAAAGAAATAAAGTTGATTTTTTAAAAGTATTGAATCAATTTTTTAACTAAGATTTCATATTCAAGGTTGGGTCATTTCAAGTTTTACATTCAAGTTCAAGTCATCTTGGATTATATTTATTTGTTCATATCATTTCAAATCTAAATTATTTCAAGTTGGATGAATATTGATTATTGTGCTTCTTCAATTTGAATTGAAGTTAGGTCATTTCGAATTAATCGAATTCAATTTTCAGACTATAATTAAACTGATGGAGTTAAATTTTTAAATTTAATTACAATTAAAACTATAGTTTAAATCAATCAAATTGATGTTTTATAACATCCCTAGTCTGGCTTAATCGAAAACCAGACTAGAGCTAATACATTCACTTGTAAGAATTTAAACGAAATCAAAACTGATTTAAATTGAACTAACGTACAATCACACAATCATTATTCATCAATTTGAAAACTAATTTATCATATGTATCAAATTTGAGGGCCACAATGCAATTTCATTCACTAAACGGAACTTAAAACATTTTTCTTCTTCAAAATATTAGTCTTTTGGCACCAAAACCAGTTGGAATGTAACAAACTTTATATATATATATATATAGGGAAGAAAAGAATGGTTCGTTCATCTAAACTTGATTGAGCTGTTCACGAGCATCCTCCTAGAGCAGCTGGGCTATTCCTTCTGGTGGTTCATAGTAGAATCGGTTCTCATTTGGCAACTTTATTTCCACTCCTTATAATATGCTGAAACATAATGGACCAGTCTCTTGTTAGTAGCTCAAAAATATGAAACATCAAGGACGAGTCCCTCTTATTCTTCTTGCTCTCTTAGAGTAGTTTGACCGCTTCCAAACTGTCAGTTTCAACTACGATCTTGCGTAGACCTACGTTCCATGCGTAGGATAGGCCAACGTACACTCCCTAGAGTTCTACATCGAGTATTGAGCAAATTCCAATGAACTTGACAAAATCGAATTTCCACTCACCGTTGTGATCTCGTGGTATACTTCCACATGATGCGATCCCATCTCGTTGTCGTCTTGCCCGGTCCATATTCAATTTGTACCAGCTTTCGATGGGTGGTTTCCATTTGTCCGGTCCTTTCATTACCTTTGGTTCTTTTAGATCTTTCGCATTCAGTACATCTCGTGTTTTACGCGTTAGCTGGGTTAGACACTTGCTTTTTTTTTTAATACCGATCGTGTACTCCATCGGGTTGTCGAAGGTGATAGCGTTTCGTTGGAGCCACAAGTTCCATGCCACAGCGCCGAGCATGAATGCCCACTCCTTGCTGTCTTTTGCTAAGTAGTCCGGTTGTGATAGATTTAACTTCGTCCACTCTTTGAAATCCATCGCTAGTAACTCCAGTAGCTTTTCTGGTTTGATCAATATTTGCCATACCGAGGTTGCGGCTAGGCATTGTCTTAGGACGTGGTTTACATCTGGTTGTTCTTGGCACAGGTGACAATGATCATCTAGTGTAAGGTGTTGGTCATTAATTTGTTGCACCAGGCTAACCATAAGAAATTTTTCATTCTTTACAAGCCTTTGTAGCTATGAATCAATTACCATATTTTGTCTGATGTTCCTTCCATTGGCCAAATAGGAACTTATATTTAATATATTTTAGAGTCTTAAAACAATTATGTAATATTTACAAAAATTTAAAATGTTTCAATATTTTTGCAATTTTTAATAATATTCAATATTTTTAAAATAATAATTTTAAAAAATAAAAACAGTACATGACAACATTATTTCATGACACAAGAAAAAAGATTAAAACAAACATTAAGATTAAAAAGTGATTTCGTAAGATTCTGAACTATAAAAATTTAAATGGGTGGAAAAAAAACAGATGTTTAATTGATGTTTTTGGAAAGTTGTAGGGCTTGGAGAAATACTGATGTTCACTTAATTCAAATTGATTTATGGGTAAAATATACAAATGGTTTCCGAATTTAGGATACTACTTTATTGAGTCCCCTGACTATAGAGAGTTACTTTGTTGAATCCCTAGATTATTAAAGTTACAAAATGATCACCTAACTATTCATTATGTTTCAAACTCTTCCTTTTCCATTAAAAAATTAACGATTTTCTGAGTTAAATATTAACATGTAGACTGAGATATGATAGTCATTTGAGATTATGATATCATATTTTATCATATCTCAATCAGCAGGTTAACGTCCAGCTCAGACTACAGTCAAACTTTTAAAGGAAAATGACGAGTTTGGAACATAACGAATAGTCAAGTGATCATTTTATAACTATTAATAGTCGATGGACTTAATAAAGTAATTCTTCATAGTTGGGGGACTAGTTTGTAAGTTTTAAAAGTCGGAGGACTCAATAAATCAGAATCCTATAGTTGGAGGACTACTTGTGTACTTTACCCTTGATTTATTCAGTTTCAAAAAAAATTTCTTCAAAAGATCAATTCAAAATGCAAGGGTTTACTTGTGGCTGCAGACTTGGATCTACTTTCGAATAATTTCCAACAGTATGCTGCATCCTAAAGCTAAGCATTGAGTTTCTATGAAGAAAAAAAACACACAAATTTATTCAGTTGACCAAGACTGCATATGATTAGTCTAATATTAACAATAACATGTACTGCTCACAGATCCGAAGCCTTAATTAAGATGAAATTTGTGTTTAAACTGCATGAATTGGACTCCCACTTGACTTACCAGGACTAGGATTCGCATGGAAAGCAGATAGCCTCGATGAACCGTCGAGTTTTAGTGAAAGAGAGGATGCGCCACTATCACCTATTGATTCTCCCAATCTCAGTTTTGACAAGCCGACCAGCTCCTCGACATTGATCGGACTCTTTGAATGTACAGCTGTTGGCTTGATCACTTGATGTGTGTCCTTGGTTGATTTGGAATTCTGACACATCCGATATGGAAGTGAAAACGGAGAGAATGGTGGGAAGTAAGCAGGGTATTGTACCGGGTGACAGGGTTGTGAGGTATCCGGTTTTGGAGAAATATTTACATCGTCATTCGAGTTGTCGGTGTCCATTGATTCACCTTCTTCATCCAATGCCGGTGGAATAGGCAACCAGTCGTTGCTCTGTGTTTCAGGCTGTGGAGGGTTCTCCGAGAACAAATCCTGAGGATTGTCACTCGACTGCAAGAATGTGAAGAAGAAACAGATCTCAGCTAGGAAAGAGGGGCAAATGGGATGGATCAGCAATGCTTATCAGCATCGCAAACGCAATGCATCCACTAAAAACCATAATCACGCACACACAGCAAAAAGTAGGAAGCCAAATTTGTTATTCATACAGGTAAAAGATATCAAAACCGAAGCATCATTCGTAGAGAGAAGGGTACTAACTTCATCCCCTACAATATCGAAGAGGCTGGATCGTCTTTTTCTCCTGGAAACATTGGACTGCCTGATAAAATATTTCTGAGCATGGCTTGCTACTTGAGTAGGAGTCCTCGAAATAACATAATTGCGCGAGATTCCACGCCAATCGCCTTTTCCAAGCTTCTGCAGCCCAAGTAGAAACATCCGATGCTCGTCTTCCGTCCAAGGAACACCTGCAAAAACAAATTTTGAGCTTTGCTTAAGCCAAACCCTTGCTTAGACAAATGACTAAAGCAGTCACCTGGGCATCAATCTACCATATAATTTCTACATTATTTACTTAAATTTCTAATATAACATCCTATGTTCTCAGTCGTAACATAAAACTATGAGTCCGTCCTGAAACTAAAGGAGAACAAATATGATAATCAATCATTAGATCAATATAAACCAATAAATTTAACATCGTAGCATCTATAATCAAAGGTTTTTAGATTGATATCATCAACATATGAAATCAAGAACATGCCTTACGAGAAATAAGCAAAGCAAATAAAATTATGAGAGATCAAATTAGTTCTTCCAAAAATAAAAGGAAAGAAAGAATCGAAACCTCGTTTCCTTTCACGACTCGAAGACGAGCCGGGGACAAAATCCTCAGAAGCATAACCGTCTGCATGATCCGGACCCCCACCGAGCGAGCCCGAATTCGACCCGAAATACTGGCTTAAGTTACCCATACTGGCGCTTTTCCGAACCGACCCGTCGGTCAACCGGACTCCGAATAGCTTGATCCCTCGGTTCGGGCATGTGCGGGAGTTGTGGCCGTTATGGCTGCAATGCGAGCAGCGATGAGTCATCTTTTGACGGCGGGGGGCAACTCCGTTTCTAGATCATAGAAAACGGGGAAGTAGGGTGGTAGATAAAAATCAGATCTCCGAAAACCCGGATCCGAACAGCATGCGGGAGGCAGTTTCGCTTTGAAGGAGAAGGAAAAACTTGCAATGGCAGTTTTTTAGCAGAGAGGGAGACAGACAGAGAATATCCAACAATTTATGTTTAATTGTTTTATTATTATTATTATTGTGGAAATGAAATGATGTAGGACCATCTAGGATTTTTCAACCGTTGATATCGTCAAAGTCAAAATTGGTCTCACGGAATCGTACGTTTGGTGTGTGGAGTTGACTCTATTTCCATATATATATATATATATATATAACGTTTGGTTTGTAAAAAATATTATTTATAGAGAAATAATCTTTTCTTGAATTATATTCTTACATTTGATTCATAGAAAAGATAATTATCAAGTAATAATTAATTATCAATAGTAGTATATTTTCGTAAAAATAGTGAGAATATAATTATTTTCAAATTCTTAGGTAACGAACAATTCACACCACTTTAAACACAAATACCCCTGAAATAATAAATTCTTTTGATATGCATCATTCTCAATTTTTATTCTTCGTCCTTTACTCAAAATTATAAACTTTATAATAATAATAATAATAATACAAAGAGTTTAATTTAATAAAATATTAATAAATTTGAGTAGTTAAATTATTTTATATTTTTAATATTTAGTATATTAATCATTTTATACTTTTATGATTCAAAATATTACTATTGTAAAAAATGTAGTTATTTAAAACAATATCTAATTTTGAGTTATTAAAAAATAGATCTTATACATTGAAAAATAATATATTTGTTCACTCGAGACCATAATATTATTTTTCATATTATACTATATATTATATAAATAAATATGATATTTATGAAAACTATTTAAAAATATAAGTTTGATATACTAATTATATTAATTGTTTGTTAAATGTATTTTTATTTAAACTTAGATAGTGTAACAATTAAAATATTTTTATAAATTTTCATTCAAATATTTATAATTTAGTATTAAAGTTTAACTTGTTAAAAATAACATATATCACAAGGATAATTTGATAAAATAAGCATCCAGATAATATTATATTACTCCAACCAAACAATGTAATATTACATTCCTGCTAAACAAATCAAACAAGATAATACAATATTCCCAAAGTAATATTACATTCCAGTAATCTTATTCCTAAATGTATTCTTACATTCAGTGAGTCAAACGTCCCCTTAGAGTTAGGATCCACTTACGCAATGCAAGATTATTTAATTTTACACAGATTTAAAATCGTTGGATGAGACTGACTCATTATTTTTTTTTCAATGAATATCTTTTTATTTCCTACTGTTAATCCCAGTCATTTATTTTGACTGATCCTACTATTAATTTGTACTTAATTTTATTATTAATAATTGTTTTTACAATTATAAAAGACTTCATATCATTCTTTCGATCTTAGTCGGGAAATATTATAATGGCTGTTTAGAGTTGGTATCATATGAAAGTCCATTATAATTCTGTATTTATAGGCAAATTTTTTAAATGTTTCTTTGTCTGCTAAGTACAAATTTATTTTCTAACTATTACACGAAATTATTTGATAGTTATTACAAATTAAATCTGTGTTGTTGACTGTTTGGCTCCCAAAACTGATGTGTCACGTTGGGTCAATATATTTCGTAATTACAGCTGCTGTAACAGCTGGTTTAGCACGCATATGGACATATTGTAGGTCAGATAAATTTTGTAATTATAGCTGTTATAACAATTAATTTATCAACTCAAACTTTTGCTAATTAATTTATTTTTCGTAATGTGTCGGATTTTATAGCATTTTCATATCAAATTCCTCTCTTCCTTTCCTTCTCTCTTTTAAAAGCTCTCTGTTCTCCAAGTGATTCGTGTTGAGAAGAGCAGTACCAGCTTTGTTCGCTCCATATCTCAAGAGTGGAATACAATGGAGAGACGGTATTAATCTAGTCCAAGTTCGCATTGCGATAGTCGAAGTTCGCGTTGCGAATCTGGAAACTGATTTGCGATACCGGAGATCGCGTTGCGAATTATCGATCGCATTGCGATTTAGTTGGTCATTTTGACAAATCTAAAAAAATGTTGGTTAAAATCATATATTATAAGACATTTTTAATCACTAAGGTTATTTTCTCTATCCTAAAAGGTCAGGGTGTCTAATCACTTATATACAAATATCGGCCCCAAAACGAAAACCCACTCTACACAAAGGCAAAGCAACGCACATTTTATTTAGGACAATTTAGGGTTTGTATTCCTCTAATATACTGAAATTTAAGATTTAATATTTATAATTTATTTTACCTTTTTTCACTTGCTAATCTAAATATTTAGCACTATCACTGATAAAACAATAATATCTGTTTTTTCTTAGTAATACCCATTTCGACTGATTCAGTGGCGGATGTATATACAGATGAGGATGGTACGTGCTCAATTGAATTTTAAATTTAATTTATTAGAGACTGGCTTTTTTAATAAGTGCCCACTCTGAAAAGAATTTATATTGAACCGGGTCAACCCAATCCCCGCTCCAAAAAAATCCACCCAAATATAATATAAAATTTTATTTTTCAACCGGGTCAACCCAAACCCCCACCCACTCATGAAAATCCTTGAGTTTTGAGAGAACACCCAAAGACAGAGAATCTGGAGAGAACTAAAACACCCATCCCCAATCCAATGATTTGAACTTTGGAAACTAAAAACCAGCAGAAAAACAGAGGCATTAACATTTAAAAGAGAGTAAAATTGAATGAAAGGGACAAAGTGCCGAAAGGCTTAAACTTTTTTTTTTAAGATTTCCCGGTGAACATCTCCAACCACGAATCCGTACGGTGAGAAACTCCGAGACGGTGAGTGAGCAAAGATACCTCGAGACCACCTTGATCGGAAAACAGATCTTAGAGATTTTGACAGTAACACTTTTGATTTTAAAGTTATATATATATGTGTAGACACCTGTTTTTGTCGGGTTTAAAAAATATTATTATTTATTTTATTATTATTATTAATGTTTTTATTAATATTTTTACAGACCCCATGTTCAACCTCACGTATTTCCACCATTCCACAAAACCCCTAAAAACATGAAACAGAATTTGCCTACCACTATCATCATCTCACCACTACCCCACCACTAAAAAACCCACCCTACCACTAATCCTATCCCACCACTATCACATGCATACAACCATAAATGAATCATGAAGAGCATTCGGGGGTGAGGAACCACAATTGGGGGGTTCTCCCTTCCCATTTTCTTTCTCTTGTTTGGTCGAACTGAAAATGGAAATCATAATAAGTAAAACAAAAAAGGTGCATTTTGTTTTATCAGTGAAACGATTTACCACCGAGTTTATGAATTTTTCCATTTCGTGTGTCCTACACCGCTCCAAATCATGTCTTCAGTCAACCCACAATATTGATTGGAGTCTCTCAGGCATTTCATCATACAGTTGTCACCATTTCTCGTGAGCTTTATCACTCGCAAAAACTTGTCTTCCCTTTCAATCCCAATTACAATCATAGTCTTTGTAACACATCCATGGCTTCAAACCCAGATAATGAATCGCAGAAACATCATCGGGTACCTTTTTACGATCATAACTTTGGTTGCCTTCAAAGTATTTGAGGAAATTCATCTGTGAAGGCACCCTGTGCCACCAAGTGAACGCTTCATTGAGAAACCCTTGGTCCCTTCCATTGTACGAACCCAGTTTTAAGCTTTTCACCATCAAATCTTCAAACGTACACAGTGAAGGCTCGATCACCATGATCCCATAATGAACCGCGTTTTATCGTTGACGTCTGCGACAGCTTGGCGACTCCGCTAGGGACATGTAAGTGAGTTAGGCCAGAATTAATTTATGTTTTCTTTTTTAGCGAAAATTATAAGTTTAAATTCTAATTTATTTATTCAATTCTAATTATTTATCTTTGATTATTTTTCAAATAAATAGTTGCACTGATGTTTTCTTTCAGTGATTTCAGATTTTTGGAAAAAATTCATCTCTGGCTCTATACCTGAGCTCCAAACCCTTTTAAGTGGGGGTGAAAGCGATGCCTTCGTGAGAATTTATTCTCCGTATAGGCCTAGCAAGTAGCCTTTGGGATTCATATACCTTATGTCTTCGTGTGAATTTATTCACCACATAGACATAAGGGAATGTATCCTCTCGAGTTTAACTTAGTCCACATAAGCTTGTAATGGGCTTATGACTGAGGGTCTGGCAAGCCCAAGGGGTACCACAAGGAGAACTCGGGTACCTTCTTTAAAACCTAAACCGGGAGACTACAAGAAATTAGAGCCCACCCCAAAACCTCATTTCAAACCCTAGCCTATTTTGAGATTATTTCTTGCTTTATTTTTTGTTCAAAGCATGTGAACTAGAAATTTATGCGGTTAAGACTTGTTCAAAATTAACATGCGAGATAAAGATCATGCCAGGGTAGGAATAATAAGCATATGGGTAGATATCATGTGGGGTAGGACTTTTGTTTTCATTATCATTACCTCACTAAATCCTTTCATTTTTGTTCTCTTTCATTTTATTTTCATCATTTACATCATTTAAAAGAGGTGTTGATCCATAAAAATGTGTTCGTTAAATGTAAATAATTGACATTAATGAACAAAGGGGTTTTAATACAAGAGATGAAAAATACAGAGGTCCGACTATGGTCAGAAGAGACTCAGAAGGAAAAAGAGGATAATATGCAAGGCAACTATGTGTCATATTCAATCAAGAAGACGTGGTACCCACAATCGAAGAGTATACCACTCTGCTGCATTGTGAATGACTCAAAATGAACCAAGATTTATACCAAGCACATCAAAAGTCAACTTTTCAAAAATGGGTTGGCAAATGTTACATGAGAAAGACAAGAAAAAATATTACTGACATGGAGAGTCCCTTCAAAGACAATATGAAAAAACGATAGCTAAATTGGAAGCCATTGTTGACAAATTCAAGAAATAATCAAATGAACTTCAGATAATCCCTTTGATGGAGGATTTCAATGACGTTTCTGTTAGAGAACAGGTTCAGCAAAGGATGAAAGCCAGAGATGCAATTATTCGATACTTCTGGGAACAAGTACAAAAAATAGCTCGTCACTTGCACAGTTTAGCCAGAGAAGCCGGAGCGGTTCGACAGGGTATTCAACTGGTGACAGACGAAGGCAAAAGACTAGTCAACCTATTTCGGGTCTAGAAAACTTAGTCAGAATGTGCCTTTAGGATGTTTTTGACTCTTAAGAAATAAGACTTTTGTCCCAATAAAGATTATTTATAATAACAGACATGTTTTCGGGTCAAAGTCTCGAACATTTCATGCATTTTTTGCATTTTGCATATATATTTCATTTTTAAGCATTTTCATAAACATGAAATTTCTTCATGGAGGATTTGATGAAGTGGTTTTAACCACATGACACCACATGGAAACAAGATTTTAACAATTAAAGAAAAAACTGAAATCAGTACAGCGGGAGCCTGATCAACTGATTGTAGGACTAAGCCTGCCATGATGATCTGAGAAAAGAGTCCTCATATCCTAAGGGCTATGATGTTGAAGCTATGTGTAGTTACCACATAGGAAGCTCCAGACATTCCTCTGAGAATTGTAAGGCGCTAAAGCGCAAGATCTAAAACCTGATGGATTCAGGGGCATGGAAAATCGAAGAATGGGGCATTGCATCTACCATTTGCACTGAGAGCATTGTTTTGTTTGAACACATTTTTGATCTTTCATGTTTGCTTAATCTTTTAAACGGCTGAATTTATGCTACCTTCTAAGGTGAAATAATTAAACGAGTTTTAATCTTTAGTTCTTCAAATATTAAATGAATTAAAGATTCTTTTAATTCTTCAAGAATTATAGATTTTTGACATATGGCAAGATTATACATCTCTTATACTATCTAAAACCCCAAAAATAAGATACC